CCCGAGGTAGCTTTTAGGAAGTGGTGCTGCTGGTAGCAAAATTCCATTGTCATGGATGGAGCTGTTGCATGATGTTTAGTAAAACTCTTCCTGAGACCCGAACTAGCCCAGGATATAGTAAGGTGATCCATTGGTTTTAGTGGCAGAGCCAATTTAAGCCCTTTCTTCTCTATTCTGTGGTTCATCTTCTGTCTGTCTGTCCCTAAATAGCTGTTTGAGACTGTAGTGTATGCAACATCACGGAAAGATCAGAGGTGTAGGAGTGGGAACACCATAAGCCTGCCCTGTTGCTAAAACCAGTGTATTTTGTAACTACGCCCATGTTAGCTTGGAGAAGGTTGGACTGTGTTGGACATTGGAGCGGAGACCCTGCCTTCCTCACCTTTAGGGAAAAAGAGTGTCTGTCACCTAAATAATTGTTTGTCACATGCATATTGTATTGCTTCTTTTCTTAATGAATAGTTGTATTTCCCAGATTCTCCACCTGAGCTTTAAAACGGCAGTTAAGTCTTTGGCCAGGAAAAGAAAATCGCCGTATTATTAATTTTTCTTTTGCTGTTCAGTTCAGTGATTCATTCCAACATGCTAGTCTAAATTATTTGTTTTGAACCATTAAACATCAGCACCCATACAGACAGTGCCTGTGCGGAGTAGGAAAATGTATTGACTTAGCTGTTCTTGAAAATAACACTGCTAAATCCGCTGTGGAAAATTGTGAGTGGTTTTCCAATGCTAACTATGTAAAACTTCTCCTGGAGAAACCATCACAACTCCATCCATATATAGGACAGATCTCTAGGGGCTTCAGTCTAGAATCAATTCTGCAATTCAGCTTGCATCCAGGGGACACATGAAAACACTTTCTGTTATGATTCTGAAGGGTGGTTTATTTTAAGAAAGTGAATTTTAAATATTGGCTAAATAACACTGAAACCAAATCTGTTTCCAGCTCCTACATTCAGTTCGATTGTAGCATTTGCTCTGCAGAAACCATGTGAGTGTTGTTGCTGAAGACTTTGAGGTACAAATAAATTCTGGCTTTAGAAATGTATCAAAGTCAAGAAGAGGAGTCCCTGCAGCGGCAGAAGTCCATCAGCGATGACAGGTATTTCTCACTTAGAAATATTTATTGGTGCAGAATGTCAATATCTCCCATATTTTCAATTAAACTTCACAAGCCTCTGTCATGTTGCACATATATATCTATAAAAAAAAACATTGTCTGCAACTGAGAAATGAGAATAATGAGGTTAAAACTGACCAGTGACACCAAGAACTAGTTACTGGAACTGAAACAATAGTGTAAGACAGCTCCCTCTTCTTTAAATACTTAAACAGGGAAACATTCTCCCTGGGGTTTTAAATTCCTTCTACTATATGCTTAGGAGAAAGATATGGAAAGACTTTCCTTGCTGGTAACTCCATTTAAGTTCCTACAGCAGCACCAAGGGTAAATTTAGAGAAAAGTTCTTCTCAGAAACAGTGCACTAGGAAAGTGATTATTTTGTTGGTAGGAAGGAGAGGCAGTGGGAGGATGGATACAGCAGGACTTTTGCTGCCTTGTCAAACCAGAATGTCTTCTGCAAACTAAGGAGATGCTTTCAATCAACTGGCTCTACCAAAGAACTTTGGACGCTTCATTCTTCTTTTTTTTTTTTTTATTAGTTGTCATTCTTTGACATGATGAATACTTACAGCAGTATGTTAAAAAAGATACAGTTAAGTCTCTTGGCATCACTGCATAGCAGTCACAGCATTTTCACACAATCTAGTGCTTCCTTTCAGAATGATGCATATGGCATATATACGCACATATGGGGGCTGATTCTTGGTCCCAGTGAAGTTGGTGGGACCAGTGTTTGGCCCATAGAGTTGTATAAGATATGTGAATATGTATATATAAAATGCTTTACAATAAACATGACATATACAATCTTGAATTCAAAGATAAGCAGAATATATTTTACATCCAAGTCAAACTTATGTTCTGCACTTAAAGTTTATGTACCTAAAATATTGGATGGATTATAGAAACAAGTAACAGAACAATAGTTTGCACCAATCAAAGTAATTTGGATACATGCCATGAATATGGCATGAAGCTTGCCTTGGGTTTTTGTTTTGTGTTTTGGGGTGGCTTTTTTTTTGGATTTGCAGGTTCTTAATTCAAATTTAAGTATTGATTTTTGTGGGCCATGAGTGGGGGATGGTGGCATCAGGAGGGGAATGGGAGTACTTTATGGACAACTCAGCTGAGTGACTTAAAATATAAGGCTATAAATTATGGCTGGTACCCTAACTGATACCTGAAAATAAAATTATAACTACTTGAGCATTTGTCCTTTCTGAGGAGAGTCTATTTGGAAGGGCTAGTATGCATTCTGCCTCTGTTTTGTTGGAAACTTTTAATAGAAATTTTAACCACAGATTGGAAAAGCTGGTGAGATAGCTATGCAGTGTGAAAATGGGCTTATCTCATTTACTGTGGTAGCAGCCTTCTCACTGATCATTCGGGGACACTTTGATTTTCTTCATGAAAACCAATAGTTAATACAAAAATAATTGACCCATGTTGTAGATTAGGTTAGATAGAACTGCAGATCATGTGGGTTTTTTTCCTCCATAGACTCTACTTTATCTCAGCTACTCCTCTCTCTGTTTCTGTATTTCAAAGGTACACATTTTCAATAGTCCTTTTTTTCTTCTTTTGGCTGGTGGCCGGAATGTTGACCCTTAAAAACCCAAAGGTAGGTAAAAATCTTTACTTAATGAAAATGCATATGTATGCATTATTTTAACCAGCCTAAAAGTTTCATTTGTCACCACTTTCTTTTATTGTTGTTATTTATACAGAATTTGCCTCTTTGATGGTATGAAATCTGCATTCAAAGAAACTAGGTTTTAATCAAATGAATTGTATTTGTGGGGCATAAAAGCGTTTTAAGCTCCTGCATTTAGCAGTTTTCTGCTTCTTTCCTTATACGAAAAACCTAACTCAGTTTTAAAACTTCATAATCTCTTAGCTGCACTGGCCCAATAAGAAAGAAGAATAATTTACAGGGGCTTTCTGTAAAGTGGCTAATAGGGCTGACAAGACAAAAATCTACCTTATCTGCATAGACGTTTTTCTATTCTGTGCATCTAGCATTCTGCTGGCATCCTGGGGAGAAATCCCAGTACAGAAATGTCCTCCGAGCACTGGTGCTGTTGGGTTGGCTGTATCGGGTACGGTTTGGCTTCCTCTATGGGAAATCAAATGGTAGCATTTTGCATTACAGACCCCAGAGAATCTGGCTGCCAGGCATTTGCTGCCAGAGCCTAACTTTTCAGCGCACTTTTGTCTAGAGCACCTGAGGCAAACTGGCCCAGACCCAATCTTGTGTAACGGGTTTGGCTCATGAGTACAGAAGCATTTCTGAAGCCACCCTGAACCTGTTTCAAGCATTGTTTCATGAGACAAGGTGATTGAAATCTAGCAAGTAGGTTCAGTGCACCAAAAAACCCCACAACCTGTCCATTTTAAGAGCGGCTTTTCAAAGTTGGGAAGTTTTAACTCGGTAAGAGCAGACTTGTAATGGACCCTGTAGACTCTAATTACAGACAAGGTCTTGGTTTTATTGTAGCTGTAACAGAACTTGATTTGTACCTAAGCTTTCCCGTTGGACCTATATTCTGGAAGCTCCTCAGAAACAGCTCAACAATGTACCTGTGTCAAGAGCTTTTTATGCCACTAGACACCGGGTTTGTTTAAGTAAACTTCAGAACATTTTAAAAAAATTCTTTGAACTAGATGGAAAATGGCTTCCATTTCTTAGTAAAAGGACAAAACAACGGAAATTATATCCTTTTGTATGTACTTAAGTGCTTCTAAGCAGTACATTACACTGCTTGCTTAATGTCCTAATAATTGTCCTAAATCTGTCAGGAGAAGGAAAGATACACCTAAAAAGCTGCAAAGTGGTGATGCTCCCACCCCCACCATCAGGTGGTTAAACAGACATTTATGTCCTATAGTTAGAAATAATTTTATTCTACTACAACTCTCTCTCTTTGCTTGTTATGGTACTTCTAATGTGTGAATCCCATTTAGAAGAGGGAGGAAGAAGAATGTCTACTGCTTACAGCTTACAAAACAGTAGAGGAGAAGAAAAACATCATTCTCAGGATGCTTTGTGTTCTCATAGTGATTTCCACCTTCCCACCTCACTGGGTTTCAGTCTCTTTCTCTGAAGATACATGTCCACTGAATTAGTAGAGTAAAACATCCTTTACTAAAACTTATGCTTTTTATATTCCTTTAAACATATTAGTCACCTTATGATCATGAAGACTTTGTCTAATCAAGTCAATATTCCCTGTAATTGAGAAAAATTCTATTATATCTCCCCTTGCATCTTTATGAGTAAATACTATCTTTCTCAAACACCAACTTAAATAGCTCTTTTTTTGTTGGCCTCTCCAAGGTATTCATGTCCAAACATGATTATATGGCCATATCTGCTAGTTCTTTTGGAAAACAGCTATACAGATTTGATGTACTGGGGGTTTACAACAATGCTATACCTGAATGCAATTAATTTTTCTGGGGGCAGAGGAGAAAGGGACAATCGCTTTGGTGCAGTGCAGTAGTGTCTGAGAATACAATCTCATTGAAATGATGGAAGCTTAAGTAAAGTTTTCTGAAGACTATCTGAACTGAGGTTGTTTATGGCATAGATAAGGCCATGTATCTTTCACAAACACGAGACCATAGAAAATTCCTCAGCTACTATGGTAGTTAAGAGGATTTTTCTTAACAGTCTGACTACAATGCTTTTTTTTTTTCCCCTTCATTGAGTGAGACTGATCTAGAAGTCAGTTGAAGTATTTTTTTTTTTTTTTTTTTTTTTTTTTTTTTTTTTTTTTTTTTTTTTTTTTTTTTTTTTTTTTTTTTTTTTTTTTTTTTTTTTTTTTTTTTTTTTTTTTTTTTTTTTTTAATGAAAAGAAAAATACAAAAAAGAAAAATACAAATGCATTTTGATGCTGGCTATCTAAGGAGGGAATGTGGGGAAAAAATGAGCTACACTGCAACATCACTCGAGAAAACAATTGGACTCCAGAACTATTAGAATGTCGTGCTTTGTAGATCACTAAGCTATTTAATAAAAAATCACACTCTTGAATAAATGGTAATCAGATTGAACTGTCAAATTATGTGGTGTTGCTGTGGGTTTTGATTTTTTTGAGCTTAAACTTCAGGCTCTGTGAAGCATTTGCCTAGACCAAATGTGCAAGGTGCCATGGATTAACAACACGGACCCATATGGAATGTGTTTGAAGTTTTCAAGAAGTTATCCTGCCAGACTTCATTCCTTAATGACCTTTGATACACCTTGGATAGTGGAAAGGCAGTTCAGAATCATATCTTGTGATCATATGATTTTGGCAGCTATCAGAAGATGAAGGATGCTAAAAGTTAAGGCTTTTATCCACAAACAATGGTGTATATTAATAAACTCTATACCATATTTACAAATGCTTTCTCTTGTATTAAAACTAACAGTATTCTGTTCACAGTGCCAATGTTTTTACAGGTAGCAATCCCACAGTACTCCAGTATTTTGGCATGGGAATCAGTAGCGCTTTGTATTTACAGAAAATGTACACATATGAATATAAACATGTTACTTGAAACAGTACTCAAAAGATAGATCTGTTCACGTTTCAAAGGTTTAGACTGTACAACACCTTCCCTTTCGTTTGCGAGGGAATACTGTTCCTTGCAATGAGAAGATGCCCGTCTTTTATCCAAAGTGGCATAAAAATGATTACCAAAATGAGCCTTGTTACACTGGAGTTGTGTATATGGAGAGTAACTTCAGTCCAAGGTTTATAGATCTGTTGTTTAGTGCACAGAATACAAAAGTTAAAAAGGTTTTTGTTTTAATTACTAAAATAATCAGACTCTCTCTGCCCTCTGTGAGCGCTGTCTCACTCAGCCAGTGTCCTCTGGATGCTGAAGATGCTGGTGGTTTAATGTGCAGCCCAGCTGCCAGCCTGGAAAGCATATGGCGCTCTGGGCCTATATACATATGTCACAGTATGACTCGTGGTAAATGAATATATAACCAAGAGTGCCTCTATCTCCACTGTTCTCAGTAATCCTCCCTGCTTCACAGCAGCCGTAACCGGCCCGGCTTCAGTACTGCTGACTGGGACTCTGCATTCAGGCAGTTCATGATCAGAAGTGACGAATGGCATCAGACATGCGCAGAACGAAGAGAGGGAGAGGAACGTGAAGGAGATCCAGAAAGGAACCCAGCAGAACTGCGGGCTTGTTCATGAGGACCCTCACAGCTTCTGCTTTGCCATTTCTTCCCTTTCCACGGTCTTGACAACAGGCTCCTAGCTCCCCGGGATTTTGTTTGCTGCTGTGATCAAGACAGAGATAGCAGTGCTATCAGGAAAAATGCAAAGCTGCCACTAAGGAGTCTCTTCTTCATTTAAAGTCTGTTCTTGGCTGCCAGTCACTTGACCTGAGTGGTCATTGCTTCTGCTACTGCTGTGTTGCTTGTGGAGCAAACTCCTCCACTTGGCCTTGTTCCTCCTGAGATGGTTTAGCATATTTTCAGATAGGGGGGTATCGCCTGTAAACTGGGCCCACCTCTCAAAGAGTGGCTCTACGATGTACGTCATGAACCCTGGGGAAACACACAAAGTACAGCAGGTGAGGAACAAATTCATTCTATGAGTGCATTACCCCATAGAGTACCTCGAGAGAACGCAGCAATGTAAGTGGCAAAAACCCTGACGAGAAATAACAGTAACGCCTCAAGCAGCCATCAATTCCCTTTGAAATGCACAGCTTTTGACCAGCGCACATGACAAGATGTAGCTCTATCTGCGTGTGTAACAGTAAAATCTGAGAGAGACAGCATCCTTCTCTGAGGAGATTTCAGACTAGAAGTAACCAGTGTGTAATCACGTGTTGGCTGTGGTTTTTCTCCGCAGATGTTAGAATGACCCCTTTTTTCCCTGTGCAATGACTCTGTTGTCTTTCTATTGAGTATCTGGCTTGGATAGGTTTCTTTTTGAACATTTTTATTTAGAATGTGAATTGTGACTCTTGTGGTACCTACAGTTCTTACTGTTAAAACAACTAGATTGGGGGTGGGGGGAAGAAGAGTTTCTCTTTGAGCTTGTGCCATACTGAGATAAACATGGAGAGGAGAGAATGAAACTAATACTTACCGATCTGTATGCTTGGTATTGTATCCTTCTGCTGATTACAAAGGGGGCTTATTTCCAGTTCAAATTTTTGTTCCAGGTCACCTGCAAAAAAAAAAGAAGAGAAAATAATTTGCTGCCACTTATATTTCTTCTCCATACTTATGTCAGACTCTTACAGTGACTGCAACTGTGTGGATTTGAGCAGCTGGAATCTTGCACCAATGACAACCATGTTAAATGTCTAAATACCTTCATTTCTTGGACTTTGTTTTACATATCAGAGAAACTGAGTATGCATACAAAGAAAAATCTCTCTAAGGAAAGGTGACTTCTGAACGAACATTAAATCTGAGCACTTGCATGTTCTGAGGACCTTAATTTTTAAAATAGATTCTCTCACGTGGAAGATTTTTAGGACATTCTAGTTCATTTACTCAAGTGTTCAAATGTCTTCCTATGAGAAAAATGCAGAATATATATTTTAGAAGAAACACATCTCCATTAGTATTGTAGTGTGAGTTGGTACTGTATGCTTGTGGAAATTGCTGTTAAAGGGCAGCGTGATGGAGCCTGGCAGTCAGCAGCTGTGTCTGCAGTAACAAATTAATAAGGGCCAGAGCATGGGCTCGGGCAACATGTATTCATGTGGCAAGAGCTATGGAATTCAAGTTATAAATGTGGAAAAAGGATGAAATTAAAAATTTGTCTCATAATTGTGGTGTAGCTGGGTATCAGGGCTATGCCTGTGCTGCTGCGCTGAACTTGCATCACTAATTCCCCGGGTGGTCCAGGAAGTCCCCGGAGTCATCTGCACAGGACTGACTTGAGACAGCAGACAGACCTGAAACAGTGGTTGACCAAACTCCTAGCCACCTTCATAGCACAGTATTTGACTAACTGGAACAGGAGGTCTCCAGGAGTGAATCTGGGACTGCCCTGAAGACTCCTACAAGGCAGCTCCTGCTGTGACTGGCCCTGAGGTCTGTTTCAAATTGTTGAAGAACAGCCTGGGTGGGGGATCTGCTCACTCCAGATGCCACCTGAGACTGCTCCTGCTGCAGAATTGACCAAATTCGGTGTTGAGAAGATGCTTATAAACAGTCAGTAGCAACTATTCCTGCAGATGCAGAAGTGGTCATGCAAGACAGTCTTCTGTGCATAGGTAAGACAGGAGATGTTTTTTATGTAGTTGAAGGTAATCAATAGCAATGATCATGTGTATGCTGGAGCGGTCACAGGGGACCACAGGCCAGCTGGACATGAGAATTCAGCAGAAAAACAGCTCAGGGAGTCTCATTCGCCTGTTGCCATCCAGACAGCAACCACCTGTCCTGCTGGAGAGACTGCATTTCCCCATGCAATCAGTACACCATGCAAAGATTGCTGTTAATGAGTTAATGTGTTTTTTGTTTGGGTTTTTTTTTTAAACAAACACTCCGTCTGTGAGTGCAACACGTTCATCCTTTGTGATTTTTAGCCTTCTCTGAGACACTGCCAGGGTACAGTCTTGGTTACTGCATGAGGTACAGACCCATTCCTATCTGCAGTATGGGAGGGAAGGGAGACTAGCTGTGTGCAAGCTAAGCTGCACACTTGCCCTCAGGCAATAATACTTTGTCCATTTGATTTACTAGTAAGGATGTAGTGAGGGGTGGTTACAAGAAACGTTCCCATAAATAAGACTGACCTGCTAGATCAGACAAAATGTTGTATTCAACCCGAAAAGAATCATTTTACTTTAAATCCACTGCTTTTGTTTAAAAGTTCTTTACTCCCCACTAATAGACTGTTTTGACATAAATGCTATTGTGCCACTCAGGCTGTATAGCCCCATATAAAATAGCGTGTGCATTTTTAAGCCTTGCCTTTCTTCTGTCTGCAGCTTACAATGCCTTCTTAAATGTGAGAGGAGTATTTTCAGTTTCAATTAGATATTTACAAAATACCAGGGAAATGGTTTTAGCTTCACAAAGGATCAAAAAGAACAAGTCAGCAAAACTGAGACAAAATAACAGTTTGTCATGTTTTCAAATGTGTAATTTGTCTGCCCTCTTTTTCCCCTCTACCCTCTCCAAAAATCTTTGACTGAAAAAAAGAGTGTCTAACTCCAGTGATGACCCCTCTAGGCAGGTATTCTGCGTTCAAAATGGTTGACCTGGCTGGCTTGAAGTGTAATCAACATCATCTTATTTTTGACAAGTCACTTAATTGACAAAAATAAGATTTTCCTCTGCATGGTAAGAACTTAAATGATGGTCAATTTTCCCATGTTTCAAGTTGCTATAAAAGTAACTGCATGAATTAATTGCCGAGAGCTTTCACGCTGGAGAAAACCTTCTAAGCAATTTTAAAACCTCACCAGAGAAACTGATCATTAATGTTACTTAAACATTAGCCATTTTCTTGAAACTTCTTTCTTGCCGGTTCCAGTTTTATATAAACAAATCAAGTTGCATTATTTACCCTGTGTTCCTATTTGACTTTTAAAATGCCCATATGAGAACAAGTTAAAGTATTTTTCTAGGAAAGGTTCATGTTAGGAGCTGCTGTAGGCATCGGGTACTCCCTGAAATGTACCTGAGTTGTATATTTTATTTGCTAATAGATGTAGTGTAGATGCACCAGATGACTGGAAGATAAAGATCTGAGTCTATTAAAATGGCATTAGAAATGTTTGGTACAAAAATGTTCAAACTTTGTACACGTTCCAGAAGGAAGATTAAACAAGGCACGAATTGTGGGATTATCTGCCTCATCTATAGTTAAAAATCAAAACATGAGAGAGATGCTTTTCAAATGCTAAACAAAAAATAGCTTCAAGCCCCAGCATTCTGTGTAAGGGGGTAGAGAGGTCTACAATAACATTTTAAAGTGATAATGGTATCTAAATACATGCTATTTAATATTGTCTTTTGTGTCACTTACCAGAATTATACAGCTACCAGTGACAGTCAGACCACAGTTTCTGTATATTCTCCCACATGAAATGCTCTTTTTCTCCCTGTTACGCTTCTAACTGGTCTCATGCTCCAGTGTCCCCTTTCAGAGGTATATTTTAGATGTTATAATAATAAATCTTGAGTCTTGGGGAAAAAGCTTATGTTTCTAAGAGTTGAGAGTGCCGTCTTTCTCAGCATGGTCCCTCAACACACTAAAGGTGAGGGGCACACTAAAGCACAACTGGGGCCCTGTCCTCATGAGCTGGATATTGGTTATGCCTTGACTATAATCTGACTAAATAAACCTGCATCTGACAAGTTGTTTATGTTGATTCAAAAGCAGCAAAGTCAAAGACATTTCACCAGCTTAAACTGACATTGGCTGAAAATTAACTTGCTGACCTATTTGTCCTTGTTAGGGACTAACTGTACCAGGTACCAGCTCGGATGTGGCTTAATTTTGTGGTGCAGAATTTTAAATGAATTGAGAACTTCATTGTGTGCTCTTCCAGCGTTTGTACCACTTGCCTTCGGCTCTCATGATGCTCCGAACAAAGAATTTAGCAGTGATTAAACTCTGCTGCACCCTGTGTTGTAGCACTGCATGACCTTGCCTATGCAGATAGAGCCAAATGGTGTAATTACTGCGTTTCAGAAAAAACCCTGCCTGACTGCGCTCTCTGCAGGGGTTTGAAAACATTTGCAATAGGTCCTAGCCAAGCTTTGGCTTGCCTGCTTTGGCCCTTTCAACAGCGTGCTGGGAAGTGCGTTTGAACCCTTTCTCTGCATTTGTAGGCAGAAGAATGTGTCATATTTGGGAAACAGCGAGGGTAAGGCTCCCATCGGAGCTGTAGTGGGAGCGTGAAAAGCGAGATAAAACACAGTGGGCAGCGGTAGTGTTTGGTGCAGTGTAGCCCTGGTGCCGTTCCAGCTCAGAAGAGCTGGAGGGTTCTCAGAGAAGAATCCAGCCGCGGGCTCTCCAGCCGAATTCAAGTGCTGAGGCACAGCAGAGCCCTCCCTCCTGCCTGACGCTGATACAGGAGCAGTGAGGGCAAAGAAATACTTGCTGCTCTTTCACCCCTTCCCACTTTTCAAATGAGGCAAAGTAGCTCTTCAACAGCTTGTTCTTGAGGGGGATTTCAAGGCAAACTGGGTAGGCTGAATGCTACCTCTGTCTCGCCACACAAAAAGCCTGGAAGGCCGAGGTGAAAGGGGACTGCCGCGTGCAAAGGGGCTGACCTTGCCGGTAAAACTCTTCGCAGACCCGTTCGCTCCACTGTTTGCTCAGATCCCAGAGCCGGCAAGGGTTGCAAATGTCAGCGCACTTGAGTGCAATCTGAAAGCAAAGAAGAAAAGTAGCGATGAGAAAAGAAATCATTGTCTAGCAGTGCTTCAGCAGCAAATCTGCAGCCATGAAACTCCCAGGCCTCACCAGCAATGTTGGGAAGGGTTAAGATCACCTTTTTAGAGACTCGGCCTCACCCAAATATGCCTTTTGAGGAAAGAGCATTTGTTTAAGCTGCAAACAAAACTTTCATTCAGCTCTCCGCTTCACCGTAGCAAGAACAAGAGGAGGGCCAAATTCCAAGGCTGCAAAGTCTTTTGGATATTCCTTGCAAGGAATAAGCCAACAAAAGCCTCAGGCTGGCTCCTGCTGACTGCCTGGCTCAGCATCCATGGCTGATGACAAGGAAGGGAAGAGCCAAGCTGGTGTAAGACTATTTGGGCATCATTTCTCTGCGGTCTCAGTGAGTGACCTTGCATCTCACTTCAATTACACTTCATCTTAATGTCTGCATATTTTTGTTTACAAAGCTAAGCACAGGGCTCTCCGCACTGCCCCTGGCTTGGTTTCACTTAGTTAACTAGTACTTTTAAGTGCTTTGCAGGGGAATGACTACAGGAGGGCAAGAGGTTTTTAAAATCAAGTAACTGCTTCAGAAAAGTAAACCATGTAATTGTCTGTCTTACTGCCTTAGAACAAGATGTCATGTGCCTCATTTCTTCACAGATTGAACACAGTCAGTTAGCCTGACAGAGGTCAGAAATCATTCTGGCACCCGGGAGGAAAACAGAAATATTTCCTGTATAAATTCAGACCTGTGAACTGGAGGAGGGAAGTCTCCAAGTCACTTTTCTCTCTGGATTAAATTGATTAGCCTTAATGTTACTATTACAAGGGTCTTTCAAACATTCTTTAACTTACCCTGATCAATCAAGATTTCTTGGGGTTTTTTTCTTTTCTTCTTCCACAGCTAATCCACCAGATAAATAAATCTCACCATGTCTGTGCCCTAGTTCCTATCTATGCCCTATCTTATCTCTCCTATCTAAAGAAAGCGCATAAGAAACGTTTTGCCGTAGTTGAGATCTGTAATCCCTGTGCCTTTGGCATTTGCACAACTTTCTTGCCTAATCTGTCCAGAAATACGATAAGCTCATCACCCTGCCCTGCATGGTCCATGCAGGAATCTGACAGAAGACCGTATTTGATGGAGGACAGGTGAGCATATTACTACATTTCCTACACTGGTGGAGGGGGAAGAATTAACAGATCAGCACTTTTTTCCTTGCAGCTGTCACCTTTCCTGTAACCTCGACAAAGTGATAACATGTAGATGTTTGTTTTATTGATGATAATGATTACTTAACTCCTTTATGTATTTAAGAGTGAAATTGATGTCATTTCTCCAGAGAAGCATGTATATGCAGCTACTTTAATCATAATAATGCTTTAATAGGTAGAGGTTTATTCTGAAGAGCCTGTTAATGACTGCAGCTTAGCTGGAAGAACCAGTTTGAATCTATTGGATTTTTAAATAAAATGTGGTTTCATCATTAGCTGGGCAGATCCACTAGAGAAGCACCTGCTGCCATGGCAACAGCTGTCTCTGCAGAGGCAGTTTCTGAACATCCATCACAGGGACGGGACTTGGGCACCTGATGTCAGGCTGTCTTGGAAAGAACACCGACAAGGGGGCTCTCTTGCGTGGTGCTAGGAAATAACACCAGTGAAGCGACGTTTGCCAGAAGAGAAAATACAATTGAAGCATTACCTGGCAAGAGACGCAGTCTGGAAATAAAGTAACTAATAGCTTATCTTAATTTCTCAGCATTTGACACTCTCCTGTATCTGTTGCATTCACAGCTTTCTAACTCAAGGAAATTACATAAGGAAATACTGAAGGCACCTTACGCTTGCCTGACGTACCAGGTGGCTGCAGCAAAGTGTTTATGGTGATAGGTAAGGAGACACTGATGTCCAGACACACTATCGTATGCTAGTCTAACATATACTAGCAAATACTGTGACTTGAAAAATGAATAAAATACAGTAATGGAAAAATAATTTTTGAAGTTACCTGAAGCATAAAATGTCTGTCTTGCGCATCCTCCAGCCTCAAATCCTGATTGTCAAGGTGAGACTTCAGACGGATCAAAAACTCATTCTGCCTGTTGATGTCTGTGGCCAAGATCAGAGAGCCCAACTGCTGCTCGATGTCCTGTCTGCAATAAGGAAAATAAGCCCCTTCAATCATGGAACCACTGAACATTAATAGCGCAAAATAACCTGCTACGGATCATAGCTAGCATAAAGCTTCCTCTTTCTTTATGGATGCAGTCTGATCTCTTTGCTCAGGGTTTGCAGGGTACAACTGTTCTAGCTGCCTAAATGGGTTCAGGAGGAATAGATAACATAGAAGGAAAATGCTTGTTGGCATAGGTGGTTCTGAAAGCAGCTGAAAAGTGCTAGGAAAGTAAAACCAAAACAACAGCATGATGCATCTAGAAAAATGCTCACATCTTACTTCAGCTGTTCAGAGCTGGGTGCTGAATACAGCAACTTTAAAGTTGCAGTTGAAGTTGTGAAGGACTGAAGTCCTTTGAAGTAGGACTGAAGCTGTTGGTCTGATGCAAAGGATTTCTGGAGGGATATGGAGCTTATCGCTTCCAGGTAACTTGTTTATGTTCTTGGTAAGGTCACCTGTGATTAAAATTTAGTATTGCAGGCTGTTCATTGGCTCAATCTCCATTCCTTGGTGGGAGTAACACTGCACAAAACCAGCAGGTAAAAAGTTAGCATCAACTTGGCCAAGGTGCTCGTGTTGCTAGGTCTTTTTTTTTTTTTTTCCTTCACCCAAAAAGACAGTGAAGACTGAACCACACCTCCTCAGTCAGGTGAGGAAGTCCTGAGCAGTCTCGATACTACTCGACCAACTCCTTCATTTCTCTCTCTATTCATGCTTTTTAATCACTAAATCTTTCCAGATTTGGTTGGTGCTATGTAAAACAAAAAATGCCAACAATGGATCTGAAAAGGTCCATTCCTGCTGGGACTCCCAGTGTTCCCAGCGCTGACAGTGGCCGTTCTGTGCTGCAGAAGTGGCAAAGTCTTAGAAAATACTTCTGCTGTATAACTTAGTCTCATGATTTCGTACTGGCACCAAGGGAGGGCAGGAAGTTCAGCCTACTTGGAAGCCTGGGCCTCTTTGCCAGTCTCGTTTTAAGAAGAGTGATGGAAGCCATGGACTAGTTTCAGTGATGCGTTTCCTCCAGCGGATACTTACGTCACCTCCTTGGGCAGATGGGCGAGGAGCCGTGACTCTCGAAGCATGCCTATTGTAGAGCGCCAGTGATGATTTTCTAGCACTGAAACATTCTAGGGAGCAATAAAAGGAATGAATTCAAGGATTAGGCAGGTATCCATGGTACAGATACAGATTTGCCATATCACATGATGCCTAGAGCTGGTTGGAAGTGTTGTAACACAAGCCTAAAATGTGTGCTTTTTAGCCACCTTTTGGATTTGAAGAATTGGTCTGGATTTCTAGAGTTAAGGACCTTGTGCTTCTAGGTTTCCTAGCTAAGGTCAGCCCTAGAGTCCTGTTGTTCTACAGTTTTTGAGTCCTGCTGCGAACAGAGGAGCTAATCTCATCTGAGTGGGAGGTAGCTTGCATTCTAACAGATTTATTAACAAATGAATTAAAGCATGAGTGCAAAATCATATTTTTACCTCCCACTGATCCCAGGTTGACTTCTCAGCTTCTACAGTTTGAATGCAGAGCGGACAAGAAAAAGAAAACTAAACTGCTGAATTTCCCTTGGAGTCAGGGAACTGGAAGCTGCCTGCAGCTGCTTAATGAAAGCAAGAGGAGTATCAGTATCACTGAGCATCTGCAGGCTTCAGCAACTTAGTCTGCAACAAATTTTGAGTCTTTTTTGTTTGTTTGTTTCTTTCCAACTAAGTGGAACCAAAGTTAGATCGGAAAAAACTCCTACGGAACAGAAACCCGGCTTTCTAGGTTGTCTGTAAATTACAACAAATTGGGTATCTTGTGTCTGATGACTTTATATTACTGTCCTAACACACAATGCATTTGCCAATCGTCCCTCGTTTAGTTCACAGAGTACTTTCTACCACTGAACGCCTCAGAAATGTCACTTGTTCAGAAACCTCTAACACAATTCTTCTAATTCACAAAAGCATCTGCTTGCTGAGCCCAGCGGAGCGCCCCTCCAGTGAATGGCACAGTCCACAGTTATCCACAACAACGTGCACAGTGTGAATGAGACGACTGTCACCTAGCAATAGGGACACTCTCGGGGGAGTTATGGCATCTGATCCCTGTTTTGGGCAGTTTATGGTTTTTGCAGTAGATGAGCACTGGATTAAAAAAACCCCAAACACAACCAAAACTTTTGGGCAGGTAGCAGAGCAAGGACTCCACCTCGTCACTGCCAACTGGGAAACTAGAGACAGAATCCCTCTCTCCGGCCACTGTTAATCTCTGGCTCCCTTCTGCACAGTGCCACAGCTCTGAGGTGTAGCTGCATTAGTGCTGCCTTTCCTGTTGGATGTGATGCACAGCTTCCACTTCTCCAAGAGGGACTGAACAGTATTTTCACCTTAAGGCTTCCCCATCCTCCTTTGTAATCCTGTCATATCTAATGACTGTTGAAACACTAAACATTGCCAGTAACCACGATCCAATTTGCATTTTGATCATCTTGTCAGTATTTTTCTTGAAATTTCGTGCTCAAAATAGTGCAAAGGTGAGAGTGCAAATCTCCTGTTACAGTATTTTCTGCAGTACGTTCTGTTGCTTTTGAATTCACACAACCACTGATACGTTGCTTTGGTATTTTAGTGTTTTTTCTGTTGTTGTTGTTGGGGGTTTTTTGGTTGGGTTTTTTTTGTTTGTTTCCCTAATAGAAATCATGGATACTGGGGGAAAAAACCAAACCAAACCAAACCCCAAAACTTTCCAACCATGCAAAGACTAAGTCCTTTTCCTTGGAAGAGCTGACAGACTCAGAACTCAAGATCAGCTATGCAGTATCTAAATTACTTTTGAGAGCAATTCTGTTCATTAGCCAACTTAAATATCCCTCTTCTCCTTTTGCCTAAGTACATCAGGATGGACTTTTGCAACCCTGCACTCTGACCAAGAAAAATAAGGGAATGTAATAGGACATAACAACAAATTTTTTTTCTTCACTTCCCCAGTCTCAGAGCTGAATCCTGGTCCCAACAGTCACCCCAAGTCCACAGGCTGCCATCTTCCTACCCTAAGGTAAATTAGACAAACCCTGCCTGACTGTCACCTTTGGCTTTTGGGAAGGCTTACACCCGTTTAACACAGTGCCTGCGTGCACGGTTCCTGCGGCCCCGGTTTGACTGCACCCTCGAAACATCCCAAATGGGGAGCTCGCCCTTGGAGCACCCTGTGCCCCCATGTCCCTTCCAGCACGGCAGCGTTACTTGCTGGGAGGAGCTGCTTCAGCAGCACCTACCTCAACCGGGGAATTACACTCCATGGATGCAGCTGCTCTTTGGCCATGCTGAAGGCCAGCCAGAACAGGGCTGAGTGTGTAGGTATCCAAGAACTTTCTTGCATCCAACTAATAGTTACTCAAAGGAAAAAGCAAACTCAGGTATCCATCCCAGAGTATTTCCACTTCTGTAAGTTTCTGCTCTTTGCCTGCTGCTATAGGGAGAACTTAAACCGAAGCTGCTGCACTGTCTAGTTTCCCACACTTAAAGCACACGGAGGAGGGAAAAGGAAAGGTCAAGTTAACAAGTGACAACTGAGCATGAAGTCATATGACTCCCCTGTTAAATGCAAGCAGCCAGAACCCCTGAAGCTGCTGCCAACAATTAGTAGAGTCAGCTATTCCACCTAGGAACACTCTACTGCCTTATTAAGACTAATTGCCATGAGCTATCCGATTGCCTATGCTGGTGGGGAGACAACCCGTGCAGGAAAAAGTCTATGTGCTGCCTTGTAGACTGGGGTTCTCAGCTCTGATCTCCAGAGACCTTGCTTCCCCCAACTTTTTATTTTTTTTAAAACTGAGAGGCACAGGTTTGTTTTAAAGGCAGCATGCTAGGAAGCCCCTGTCACATCTACTGCCTAAAATTAGTGGATTGCTGTAACACAGACTTCAGGACTGTGAGAAAAAAAGCAGGTTTTTCACTTAGACTATCAAAAAATCTCCAATCTGTGACTTTCCCCGAGCCATTCAAACTAGCACACTTGACATGCATTTGGAAAAGAATAATAACTTGAAGAGAGGAAGACTTGCTATTAACTAGGTGCAGAGAAAACTTCAATTTTAATTCAGAGTGGAAGGCAATCTAAATTTCTTTCAATCTGGTCATCCATTCTTAGTCACTGAGCAACTGGTTTAACTACGCAATGTTAAATACATGAAAAATGATACTTTAATTAGAAATGGCGCTTTTAAGGAAGACTGCAAAGTAGAACTGTCATAACTGATGCCCAAAACATATATTTTCCTGTTTCTAGTTTATATACAACTATATTAAAGTTGTAAAGCGTTCTTTCATAGATTTCTGAAACCTGTTTTGTACTACAGATGTGTGTGATCACTGCCGACTTCTAAACTATTACCCTTCTTTTAAGAGCCAAAGATAGATCTCAACTCTCTATTACTGAAGTTATAAAATAACATTTTATTTATACCAATTCTATTTGTTTTCTTAGGAAATTCATAATAATTTTCAGTAAAAAAGTTAATTTTTTTTAAAAAAAGGCAGTATGACTTTTTCTGGTGTTAGGTTTGATGTGGAGTTTTGGATAAATACAAGGCAGGATTGTATCAGGCTGAGCAACCTTGAACTGTATGCTGCTTTCAGTCAAAAGAAGCAGAAATAATGTTGGATAAGCCGAATGTATCAACCAGAATTTGAGTCATTTGTGACTTTGAAGGCTCCAGAGACCTAAGACAATGATTATCAAGCAAGAATAAAACTTTTATTTTTCATTTTAATGGCCACTGAAAGTTAGAAGCAAAGTCTGCATCACCTAACAAGGAATGCTGTTGTGCTCCTCACAGGAGGCTAAGTGACCTCCAGGTCCCTGCTGTCACCTTTTACACTCTCAACTGTCTTTGTAATGCTAGAGACTTGAATGAGGCACTTTTATTTTTGTGGAAAATTATGGTGCCTCGCATGCAATAGACTTGTGGAAATTACCCTATAGATTACAAAACAAAGTCTTGCATCATAAAATATGGATTTAATTTGAAAATGAATACTGAAAGTTCTGAACTCCTTGGTGATGACACCTATCTTCCCGAAACATGATTCTGCTCATATATGCCCTTCAGAAGCTGTCAAACACTTCGCATCTTTGTCAAATACTGACCAACTTCATTTTGCAAAACCTTTTTTTCCAGATGATTCAGATGTAAAGTTCTAATTTAAATTTACAAACAATCAAGAGCAAAGAGACGCCATAAACAGATAACCCTAAGTCTCAGTTACTACTGTCTCAGTGACAGATGACTGCCAACTATGTTAACTATGTTTTGTTTGATTATTTTTCTGATTAGTCACAGCAGTTCTGTGGATCTGCTATTTAAAAACCAAAAACCCCAGAACTTTTTTTTTCAGTTTCAAGCACGTGTTAAAGTACTAATATTGAGAAGAATATAATTTATTGTTTTAAAGACTATTCACTGAATCTAAATTTTTGACTAAAAATGTTTTCAACAAAACTTTTTTCCCAGCATTGTTATTTTTATTGGCATTCATGTACTGTATACTACTAAAATCTTTGGAAACAATCTGGGATCAATTTCAGATAAAATAATAGAAATGAAACTTGCCAGTGAACGTCCCTAAACAAGATACTTAAAAATCACATTTGCTTTTGAAAGGTTGCATTTGCTGTATTGTCACTGCCTTTTCTAACCAACGTTTGAAAGTGTATTCAAGCCCAGTTAGCTGAGCAGAATCCATCTCTCTAAGATAATAGTATTTTATTTTAGCTACATTTCTTTCAGATTAGCCTGAATTTCCAACCTAATTATATATTACTGTTTCCAGTAATAATAGTGGGTGTATTAATTTGAGAAGGAGTTGTTCATACCTTTTCATAGGGCCAGGGTTTTTGTGGAATAGCTCTACCCGCTCCTCTTCAAAAGATCCTTAACATAACTTTCCCAAAGTCCCCTGGCTTAGTCCCCTGGCTTTTCTCTCTCCCCGCCTAGCTGGCCTGACATTTAGAAAAGACTGGAGCAAAATGCACCACACATGTATGGGTATGACAACTCTCGATTTCCTAAGTATGTGTAGAAAGGTACGTAGCTATCAGTGAGTCTTCCTCAGTTAGATTCATTTTTAACTTGGGATATTCCGTTTCTGATACCTTATTACAAAGGCTGAAGTTGACTCTTCCGAAGGCTACAAAACAATACCATCTCCATTTATTAGCTATGAATTACAGTTAGTGCAACCAAGATGATTTACAGTATTGCTCCAGCGTGTATATGTAAGTATAATGTAAACAGTAGAGATGTGCATATATAATCATGTGTACATGCATGCAAAGATTATACATGTAGGACAGTTGTAGATAAAACCCAGAGTTACAGTGATTGCCATGGGACAAAACTACAAATATGTTCCAAAAGGACCACAAAAATCAGGGCAGGATAGGTTCATTGATAGTTATTGAACAAGAGGGTCTATGTTTTTGTTTCAGGAGGTCTTCTACTCCTGCTTGCCAGAGATGGGAGGATGTATACCAGGTGAAGGACAACTCTGTACTTATCCCAGGCTTATGTTTCTCTCTGAGATCTTTTGCTGGCTGCTCTTAGAAAAAGGATACTGGTCTAGACAGCCTGTGGTGTGACCTATGGTGGCTGTTTTAATGTCTTTCTTCATATCTCTAGGCACATTTGGGTAAATATCTACAGCTTTTCCCTTGGTTTCCTCTATCTTCTTTTTTTTTTTTTTTTAAATTGCAGTATTCATTAAGTGTTTAATTTTACTAGAGCCACATGAAGCAAAAGTTTCTTTTAATGCAATGCCAATTGAGAACATGCCTGCTGCTTGCTTGCTCACCGAAGGAAGATGAAGTACAAATTGTCTCCCTGTGATTTTAAATCTCCTATCCACAGTTCCTTACCCCAGATGATCTACAGCAGAAATAACCCAGGCAACTGATTTGACTTAAATGTCCTCAACAAAATCTGACATTTCCACTTTCTTTCTCATGTGTATCAGCTTTGCTCCAAAAGACACCCAGTGAGGAGCTTAACTGAAATTGTCCAGACTCTAAAGTGCAGGTTGATTTGGTCAACATCCCCCCACTGCCAGATTTCGGCATGAAAGCTCACCGCAAATTGCTTAGACCCTCCTTGACATCATTTTACATATTATCAACTCGATCAGCTGCAGTTTTACCTGGTACAGGCTGGCAAGGTGGTGTTTAGTTTTGATCAGAAAGGGCTGGTTGACCCCCGGATGATCCACATCATGAGCCGCAGCAGCTAGCAGTCCAAGCATTATGTCCGATGGGGTGAGGAAGTTGGCAAGCTGAATCACACACGTTAATCACAACAAGAACATGAACAGTAAATACTTTTTTTTTCTTTTGGCAAATAAAGGAATCAGCTAGCATCATGGCAGTGCTTAGTTTTGTAGGACAGTACACAAATGTCAAATATAAAATAAATTTTGTGAACTACATTTTTAAGGTGACTGTTGAACAAACATCTATAAAGATATCAGACTATATACTCATATTTTATTACAGTTTGTACTTCTTATCTCTTTATCGTTTATAGCAATATAAGGATTGTTGTTATAGAAGTGCTTGAGCTTCGTCTAAAAGATTCAGTTTTAAAAAGTAAGTATACTAGCAGGTTGGCATACATGATAAGGCCTCTGCCTCACACAGTATTTAGTAATGCCAACAATACATCAGGCTTCATATTTTCCAGCACAGCACTGTGCTGTAAAATGCAGAGTTTATAAAATTTTCAATTTTCAGACTAACAATTTGCTAATCCTAGCAGAACTTCCCTTCATTTAAGTCAAGCCAGGAAAGGTTAGTTATATTCTTACACTGTGGCTCAGCATTACAGTATTGCAGTGCCTTCCAGTAACACATAAAGCAACGTCACACCCTGGCGCTGTGAGGGCTTGCTGCAGCAGTCAGAAGCTGCTGTTCACTCGTGCAGAGGACACCCTTGCAACAGACCCGCTCAAAGGGAACATTTTCCCCTTTTCTGGTGTTGCACTGCCAAATTCGGTATCTTGAAATATCGATGTGAGGGGCTTAGGCCCTGAAGGGACTGAGGCACGGGCATGCGCTGCCTTCTGCTGGCTTTGCTGGGAGGACTGCAGCCACTCGCAGATGGCTGGTACACACGGTCACGGTAACACTTGCTGGCACTCGTATGACAGCACTTCGATATGTTGCCTGCGTGATGACAGGTGACTCCAGCAGTTTGTTTAAAGTGTCTGTAACCTGTAGCTGACTCTGCTACTGCCTTGTTGCTGACTTCAAGTACGCTGTCGTTTTCCGCTATCTAAAAATATTTTGGTTTTTTTTTTTTTTCAATCCTGGGAAAAAAAAATTGAGAATTATCTGAAAGCAGCATCAGCGCGAAAGGTTGTCATTACCTTGGGCTCCCTCAGATAGCAGTGCATAGCTTGTGTGACATCAGCAGCATGGACAGCATTGTGGTACGGGTTTTGGCTATGGTAATCTTCTTGAACCATAACTGGGAACCAAAACAGAAAATAAAGATCCTTTTGTCTCTGAATGCCACGGCCACACGTGGGAACTGGATTTAAAATACAATTTGAGGTTTTACAGTCAGCTGCCTAAGGAGTTTCTTCAAATATCTGTAGCTTACTTAGACTGGTGCTCTTATTGGAATACCTTTAGAGAAAAAATGCATGAAAGGATTTGTGAGGCCCAAGGGGATATACTGGGTCTAGTTCATAAATCAACTCTTTCTTGCCTTAGTGAAGGCTCTCATTCAGGAGTAAAATAAATAAGGAAGAGAGGCAAATTTAGCCACAACGGAGTGTAATTATTTACGCTGCTGTCATAGGGGCGTAATGTCATTAAGGCAGTACCACCTATTTTACAGCGGCAGGGGGTGAGGCCCTGATACCCTGGCATCATTTGTTATTTGAGTGACTAGCAATGGTCAAAGGCATTCCTACATCCTCCAGACAGAGAATCAAAAGATAAAGCATTGGGGTATGCGGAGCAAAACCTTCTGTGATAATTTTAGTCACGTCTGCACGTCCATTTTCAAATACCAGTCCTTCTTGTTTTAGTGTGCAGTGCTGGAACTGGTCCAGCTGGAAGACTGAGCGACAACCTTTTAACTCTCAGCTTTCGCTCGCATAGAAAATCATCGAGGTGTGTGCTTCGCACTCATCTGTTCCCTGCACGGTGCCTGCACCATTAGGTGGTCTCGGGGCAACACCACGTGAACAGTGGAAGCTGCACGTGTTCTTGCCCAAAGCGCTCTCCTAGACACTATCAGATTAATCAAACAGAAAGGTAACGGGCAAATTTCCCATGGCACTTGTCTCCAGCATGGGGAAAGCCAAAGAAAGTCCTAGCCTTCAGTTTGTTTCCAGCTCCACAAGCATTTGAAGTCACAGTGGCTAATCCTTTAAACCCTGAATACCGCTAGCTGTAATTATCTGAGCGTCCACTTCACGGCCGCCCACAGGAGTCAGAAACAGCAGGGAGATTTTGTCTGTCTCCACATTGGAGGAATGCTTTCCAGAAGTGACAATTACGCAGTCTTAAAGAAGAGACCTTGCCTTTGAAACTCCGTCTGACAGCCTAACAAACGGGCATTCAGCTGCATTCAAAACATGATGCAAAAAGTAATTGATTTTGGCCAATTTCTTTTGGTTCGCTGACAGCATGGGGCTAATATTTCTGTTGGCAGTAACAGCAGCAGGGGCTTTCGTCAACACTATTCGGTGCAGACAGCTTGATATAATTTGTTAAATTTTGCACATAAGCTTTTAACTGCCCTGGGTCTCAGTGGTCTATTAGTCACTAAAATAATGACTCTGCACCACAATTGTACTGTGCACGGGTAGGTTCTGCAATGTCTGTCTGTCTGTGTGGGCCTACTCGGCCAGCCACATCTCTGCATGGCATCCTTTTTTTTAAATCACCAGTGCAATTGTGGTACTGGGATGCTTCAGCCCAATGCAGAGCCTTCTGAAGTCCCTCCATTGACTTAACAGGTACTGAACCAAGTACCTGAGTGCCTGTAAATTGTATGCTAATATGTATCACAGAAATGTTTTACTGAAATATTTGCAACAATATCATGATTTTACATAGGCACGCAGACCAAGCCAGTGCCTTCTTTGATGCCCTATTTAAGCTGTAAACTGCATTTAAAGATGGCTTTGAGGTGAGCACTTACCTAAAAACCTGTGTAATGTAACCATATCTAACTGGAAATGGTGAATAAGTCCATGCACATTGAAGAGGTGACAAAGCAGCGTTACGAGACTGTTTCCTAAAAGCAGAAAGGAACAACTCTTAGATTCCCTTAATGTGTAGTTATAAACCAAACAAGACTAAAAATCTTGCTAATTTCCTAACTATTAGTCAGCTCCCATCACCTTAGCTCCTATCATATGAGCTTAGATGACACTTTCATACTGCAAAGTAGCTTATATGAATTACTCCTATATATAACCAAGATTTGATGGTATGGCTGTACCAGTGGAGTGCCATTCTTGTGTCTAGATGCCATAAAGTCACGTTTACTGTTTCAACACGATGCAGAAGGCGAATTGACATGGTTTTAACTGGAAATCTTTTGACAGGCTTGTTTGAGAACCACATCATCTTCATAATACAGGTCTATCTCCAGAAACGACAGAAAGGAGAATGGCTTTTCTGCCACTTCAGTTTGCCATACTGTACTAATTAATTAATTACCAAGGAATCAGCAGTTTGTAATTAAATTTTTTATTTTACACATGGCTGTACAAACATGTAATTAGCCCACGTACCTAGCTCAGCTACAATTGCATCTCATAATGATGATGCAGACAGGAAAAAATGACTTGCAGCATTTACGGTCTCAAGTCCCACTGTAATATTACGCTGGCCTTACTGTGAATCCAATACTGGGAACACTAGCAAAATTGAGCCTAACTAGTATTATACGATCAACTATACATACACACAGAATTTAAAAAAGTTTGCACTGCATAATTCAGCAGCAATGTTTCCAGAAAAGTTAGAAATAAAACCCCAGACCAACCAACCCATACAACGTATAAACAATGTTTGAAGGAAGTCTTTTCTTATGTAATGTAACTCAGGAAAGAAAATAAATATATGTACGAAGAGGACATGGAAACTTATTTGGCCTTGACTACTGAGCAGGGGTGCAGAAAGGTAATTTAGAAGAATTATGCTTTTGCTTCCCTTGCCATTTGCGGTCCTTTCCACTCTTCACTCAGCTGAATTACCCTCTAAACCAACTTTTTTCTACACCTTCTGCCCCAGCCAGACCTTATTAGATTGGGGGTGAGGAATGAGGGATCTCATTCCTATGAGCAATACAGAAAGGAGAAAGGTGTGATCATGACCCTCTTCAGCAGTTACCTGATCAAGAGGTATTGCCTAGACATGAGTGTGTGTGTGGTGTTACAGGCATATATTTAGACAAAACATTTCACAGGTTTTTACTGTCTTAATGAATTTCCTAATTTTTGCTGCTGAACAGAAGCAAGGGTATCTTCAGTTAAAGGTATTTCATGTTGATAGAAATCGACTGATTGTGGAGGTCTGTCTGGACTTATCGACCAGTGTATCTAATAGGCATATTTAAAGTACCTTTGGAATTTCCCAGGTAAAGGAAACTGAAACACCCCTTTGAAAAGGTGACCATAACAAATGTAGGAGATTAGATTAATACAAAAACACTCTTTATGCATTATCCTATAGTTGTGAGCGTTCTGGGAAAAGCCTGAAAACGTTCAAGGATATGATTTTAAGAGAAGTTAACTGTGTTCAATTTCTCTTCAGTAATCTAAACTGGAAACATTTAGCAATTAATTAATTAGGGATTTTTAGAATAGCCATATATGAGAGATACTAAGATAAAAACTTTTAAAAAATTACTTACCATTTGTCAAGCGGTCAAACAAGAAAATGTCAAAATCCCACATTCCCACTTTGGATAGCATATGCTAGAAAAAACAAATATGAAAAGGCAAATGACTGGCATCTCAAACTGTAAAGCAGATTTAAATTATTATTCCACATTAATCAATCACAGGATTGGTTGCTGCAGCTTTAAAGTTTTGTTTGGGAAAGCTACAGAGATGTATTTGAAATATCAGACGTCAGGAACCAAGTGGTGCTATACTGCATAAAATATCACTTGCACTTTTAACTGAGGAGGTTTTTAACTTGACACTAAAAATACCTTCTAAATGGAGCTCAAAACATGAAATAATATAAAACAAAATATTCCCTTTTACTGCACAACTTTTTAATTGTTCTTTCATGTCCCAAAATCAATTCAGTACAAATTCTCTTAGGTTTTTATTACAGTAAAACACAGTCTTAGCTCTCATGGTGAGTATGAATTACATTTTGCTAAACAAACCAATACACAGGAATAGCTTTTATAAACTTAGATACAGTGCTTCTGTGAAGCCCACTCAGCCACGCAGAAGAATCCATCGTTACCACCATATACGGTGTTTTTACAGCCACGTCAGTTCAGTCAAGAGACTGAGTCTGGACTAACTGTATGACCTACAGTGGCATATGTGTGAATGAAGCGGGCATTCACTCCCATCGCTTAGTCTATATTCAAACCAGTTCTGGATTCTGAATTACTTTCTAACACCTGGCACGTAATCTTCTCTTGCAGAGAATAAAAATTGCCCAGGCACGTAATCCCAATGCCATCAGTTGTGCAAGTTTTGTTAGAAAATATCATTCAAAGCAAGTATAAGAGCTGCAAGATAAGAGAATTATGTTTTGATTATTGTGAAGTTCTTTGCAGCGAGTGTTCCCTGTTTCCTAGCCTTTGCCATTACGGAGAGCTATTGTGGGTCGCCTAATAGCTGCTCCGTACCAGCTGAGAGGCAGCTGTCTTTTTTCAAGCAGTTGAACTAAATCTTGTGCCGAGGCTGCACTTACTTAAATCAGTAACCCAGCCAGGGATCCTTCATCCTTTAATAAATCCAGATTATAATTTCAGTTGACAGAATCTGAAAATGCTGAATAGATTTAGACATTTTCTCGTTGCTTTGAGACTAAGCCTTTAAAGCTGTAACCATAAAAGAGGAATGGACAGTTTGTTTGCTGTGAGGCAGGCAGGCAGGCAAGTAATGTGGGTCATTTAAGAAAGATCAGCCATACATCTGTTTATCTGAACGCTGAAACAAAATTGACATTCTCTGGAATATTATTAAAAGAAATGGAGATCTGGAGACCCGTCTTACCCTTGCTTGCCCAAGGTAGTCCTCATCCAGTAGGTACAGAGAGGCTTGTGGTACAATTCCACGCAGTAACCGGGATGCATGGAAATACCTCTGGAAACTTAACAGTCTTTTCACTTTTTTCTTGGTGCCAATTTCCCCTGAGAGTGTAGTATCTGTGAAAAGCAATCAGTACGGAAACGATGAAACCCAAGATGAAGGATGACATTCTCAATTATTTAATAAGAGAAATAGCAAAAACTTTTAAAATAGTGATACAAAAATCACAAAGTTCACGCTTCTTGCCAATCCACATGAAGGAGCAGTATTCAAATCCCTATACTTCAGCAGAATATATTTGTTTATTTCAGAAAGGAAATACGTTCCAGTAAAAAGAGTACTAATGTAGGACTTGGAAGATCTGAGTTCAGTACACTGCCTGCCACAGACTTTAATGGGATCCAGGCTAAGTCACTGGGAGGGTGATGTATCACCTAACTGTAGATGTCTAGAGGAAGCCTAAATGACTAGGCAGAGTTAGGTACGGGAAAGCTGCTCTTATTCTTCTGTGCGTCTGTTCCCTACCTATACAATGGAAAATAGCATTACCTTGCTACCTCACAGGAGGGTCACTGGAATATATTAAAATTGCATAGCACTAGCATACAAGGTGATCTTGGATATAAAACCAAAAAAGCGACACCAAAAGAGACCTCAAAATACAGTTTGAAAGCACAAATGTATGACCCGCTTTTGGAAAATGAGAGAAAAGAGAGAAGTAAGAATAGGTTAATAATCCTATTGTATTGTCTGCTGTCCTTCCTACGTATTAAGGCAAATTATAAATGAAGAAAATATTTTAGTTCTACAGTTAGGAAAGCATGTATATTCAGGCAATACATGCATTTCTGGTTACACAACAGAGTATGTTCTTTTCACTCAGTACCAGGATAATTCTAATTCCCTAATGCTGTATTAGGAGATTTTCATATAGGGCTAAATGTGACACAAAAACCAAGGCAGTTTTTATACAGTGATTAAATCACTGATTAGAGTAATTGAATTACCTTATTGTTAGTAAGAATAATATGCAGGCTTCCTAAAACTGATAATGACTTAGGTAATTTCATCTGAACTTTTAAGAGAACCTCACGTACAGTTGTGATGTTTTCGTTTTGCGGTCTGGTATAAGGTTTGGAAAAAGGGAGGACAGAAACTGGACAGTTGTTCGAAGGTAGTAACATTCGACACCGGTTTATTCATAAGAGGACCCTCGTAAGAAACTGAAGATTAAGCACTCCTTTTAGAGAACAGTAATGATTGCTTGAGATAAGAAGCTGCATAGCAATTCACTGGATTTCAGGTTTAAGTAAGAGCTCAGGAAAAATATCCATGGACTGAAGATGACTCTCTCTATTCCGCTATTTCTTTTTATGCAAAAATGCTGAGCATTTGTTCTGCTGTGAAATTAAAATATGACTTTGTATGCTGTTTTTATGAGTATTATTATTCTGAGAAGTTTTTCAGAGAAGTCATTAAGGTTTTTTTGGATCATAGATGGTTCAGTATTGGATTTCTCCAACAGCAGACGTGCGAGCACCTTCTGTAGCAAGTTTCTTCCTTAAGTAATCCAACAGCTATTCAGTGACACAAAGTCAGTAACAACAAAAAAAAATACATACTTACGTACTGAGTATCAATAATTAATATGTTTTCTTACACCTGTAAGTCTCACACGTCTCGTGGGCAGCCCAAAGACCCCACCGAGTTTTAATAATATAAAAGCACAAAATAATTTTATTGCAACTTGACAAGCCATGTGTTTTCAAGAATGCAACCAGTAACAATGTCACTACTGTACCAGCCTGAAGGTTAGATTTTCATTTATGATGTGCCAGCACCTGCCTTAATTCTCTCACACATTTTAAAAGCTGGAACAATTTCATGGCCTGTTGAAGGAGTGACTAACGTAGGTGCTAAGAGTTACCCAGTGACAGTGACATGTGGAGGAACTGGTAGACTTGTTTTCGCATTTCTTTTCATTTATATAGTGCTGCTAAGAAGTGGCTGGCATTCAGTTTAATTCCTGGATAACAAAACACTCTCAAAATTAATTCAGTTTTTAAACTTTTGTCAGCTGTTTCTCGACTTCCCAACTTTCCTAATTCCATGTTTGCCCCCAAACTGTCACTGCTTTCAGGTAACAAGTTTAAATTTTAAAATACAGAAAACTTCCCTTTTGTACATTAAAAATGAGTAGTTGCTCCAACTAATTTTTATCTAAGTTAATATCTGTTTTTTCAGTTAAAGACAGATGGCTGAAATTACCACCTATGTTCCCCTAAACTGTCTTTAAAATTCACACGTAGAGTTGCTGTGGATGATCTGAAGGTGAAGGTTTGGCCCGAGTCCCAACAAGCAGCCGTACGTTGGATTATGAAGAAGTGGTTATTTTATCCTTTCGATTACCAGATTATTTCAGTAGCACAAATAATACTTACCAAACCACAAACACATCAGGTTGAAATAAATAATTTCTTATTGTGAAACATTTTCTGAATTGAACCATCAAACTTGTTGCCACTGCTTTGTCATACTGCTCCGTATGGCTGTCACGGGTCTCAACTGAAATTTAATCATTGGCAGACAGCGCCTCTGAAGCATGACTTGCTGCTTCAGATGAGCACTGTATTACAATACATTATGCAAAAAGATTACCCACAATAATCTGTTGCCCTGTATTTTCACCGATAAAGAACGGTAGGAAATGTATTTTCAAAATTGGGTTCTTGACAGAACAGCCTGAATCCCACACTGCAGTCTATCCACATGCAAACTCTGGGTATCATGTTAAAATCACATCCTTTAGGCCATTTCAGTAATAATTGACTTGTCCATGAATCACAGAACTTGTCAGATGATTGCTACAGCCCTTAACAGATTACTATGCCATCCGCAATAATGTACCTTATTATGATGGTGTCTTGCATAAAATTGGACTAAGACCATGCCCCTCTCCAAGCATAACACACCCCGAACTATTACAATCTCATCAGCATTTTCTCTTTCCCCTCCCAAGATCAGTGTCAAACAAAAAAGTAAAGCACAGCCATATGAAATTGAGAGAAAAAGGGCAATTAAAAAAGAGGAGCAAAAAGTGAAGCAGCTGAGACTGCATGCTGAAATTCTGTCCTCAGCTCAGCCGTCGTACCTCAATCTCCCAGCAGCGAAGAGCTATTCCTAGCATATGGGATCCACCAGCTGGCACAAAATCATGATGCAGTTTGAAGATGAAATTAAGGGTTTATGTGAATGACTTATTGTAATACGCTGAACATCCCATTTCTTCATTGACAATTGTAAATTTCAATTTAAATTGTAAATATAAAATTTCGATGACAACACCTGATGTAAGCCATATAATGACTTTGAAACTTAAAGAGGTATTGATAGCTATTTCTAATTAGGTTAAATTGAATTACAAGTAAATGAATCAAAAATATCGTTGCAGGTATCACTGAACTTCAATCGTGGAACTATGGGTACTAAAACATATGCTATATTACCTAGTTAAAGAACACAAGCTGCAAGGCTCACATGGGAAGGATTTAGTAATTATGTGCAATTTGGAAACGAACATGCGAGACGAACAACAATGCCTTTTGTTTATACCCGTAAAACTTCCCTTGAAAACTGTGTTTATCTTTAATCATTGTGGCAACTTCTGAATGTTTTGTTTACCTAAAAAAAGCATCATCTGTATCTCTTAAAAGATGCACATTCTCATATCCTGTGGAGTTACTGCCTAGCACAGTGGTTGGAGAATCCCTTCTTCGTATAACTAACAAAGTTATTGTATGAATTACATACACATACACATATTGTATGAATTACGTACACATTTACAGAAGCGTCTGTATAAGCATTCCTCACAAAGCTTAACTTCTACCTTCAAAAACACAGGCGGCCTGAGCTCACAGCGTATCTCCGGACATCTTTCAGCTGGCAGCAAAAGTAGTTGCATTTTTCCTTGGGTAATTTGATAGCCACATCATGTATACACGCTATCAGACCATGGATGATGTCTGGATACTGCACGTGGCCCTCAAGAGGTTAATAAGCTACAGGAATCAATGGTTGCCTTCTCTCTCCTAACAAAGTTCCTCCAGTTACACAGACCTGCTTGCCTTCACATTATCTACGGCCCACTACACCCCAACCTCTGTTATTTCAGGGAAAGAGGTTTCCTGCACTAGGAACTGCTACCAGTTTTCTTTCAGATTTCTTTCACGTTGCTGCGCTAGCGTGTGCCCACAGGCAGCGTGAATATAAAAATGACAGAGGTTATGTTAACAATGGTTGAGTTAACATCCAGAAACGATCACATAAATCAAATTTGGACAAGGATGTACTTAACTCTGCACCAGACATTCATTACATTGTTATTGTTCTTTCAAAGTAAACAAACTTGGTTATGCATTCAAATAAGGCCTGTGCGTTTTCCTTTACAGTATCGCTTTTTTTTATTTTATGGCACCTCAGCGTACAATAAAAACAGGTCACTCAGCAGCATGAGTGAATAACAACAGGTTTATTAATTTTCAAAAGCCAACTGATTGAGAAACAGAAAATGTTTTTCCTCTTCTTTCCAAAAGGATGCAGAATAAAACCAACATATATAAATCAGGTCATCAAGCGCCTGCCTTTGACTCATATAAGGTTTGTAATACCCCTTCCCCTCTTCCCAGGATGCAAAGACATTCTGTACTCAGGCACTGCTCTACAACTGTATGCCCGAAGAGTCAGGCAGGATTGGTAGAAAAGTGCTGGAATATCTGGAAGATAAAGCAAGAGGATCAGACCAGCAATTCACCATCCAGACAGTTTGCAAACAGCGAGGACTCGGGGAAACAATTTGTCTCTGGTCCTATACGTTACGGAGGCAATTTCCTGCACTGGTTCCCAGATGACAGCTGATTAGAATGCTTTTATTTGAGAGCTCAGGAGAGATGTAATTGACTTATGAGGAATAACCGGGGTTTCTCCATTTTTTTGTGTGTTAAATCATGCCAGGCATTTAGATCACCTTTACTGAAGTCTTGTTTGGCATACTCATTGCATGACTTGGTTGCTAAATTTTTCTTACAAGGAAGAGTGCAGAGCACTGATGATAGAA